ACTTTTTTTGTAAGGCTTTCGTGAATATCTATCCATAATTGCCCTGTTTTAGTTCCAGTGGCACACCAGTGCTTTCAGCTCATAGAAAAAATCTCTACCAGGTTTATGAGTAGTACGAAAATGTTGCTAGAGCATCTAAAGCTAGATGTTGGGCCAACTCGTTTGAAGATTTTATTAATTAATTAATACCAATGGTGTATGGAACATATTTTTAATTTTTTTGGGGTGTCGAGTCGTGGAAAACAGGAGTTTGTTAAGAGTCCAGATCCGAAACTTTTCAGCTACAGAATCACATTCATCAGCTGATTGGTTATGCTAAAGATAGTATTTCAATTATAGAGAGAGGAAAGGATAGTTTTCTTTATATTAAAAATTGAGTCCGATACGTCAAACGTGCTGGAGTGAAAGTTAAAATCATGATGTAAACAACAAAATGATTCGTTTAAATCAAAATTATGTAGTTTTGCATGGCTTCAATAACAGAAGTCGAAGGTGTCTTGATACTCGAGAGGGAATAGAGGAGAGGTGCCTTCTGGTGGTAACTCTACAACAAAACTGTGTTCAGGCTTCCGGTCTTTCGCAGTGTGTCTCAGGCGGAAATAGCTCCATTAAGGAAGCGGTGGACGCGCTGTTACAAAGTGAAAAAATTAAAAAAAGAACACATAAAAAATTACAAATATACCCAACTTAAAATCCGGCATACTCGTATTTGGGTTACCCTGACTGTACAAATATAAACCAACAGCTGCAACACAAATAGTTAATAGCAAACAAACTTACATACTTATATAGTATAGTATCGTGTGTTCATGTTTGTGAACAGAAGTGAAAAATCTGCTCTCAAACAGTCGATGCTTACTATTGTAATGGAAATGAGTTACGTTTGCAAAAAATTTAAAAATAAATTTTTTTTTCTCTCTTTTGTACCACAATGCAGTGCCTTTGGAGGTGAAGTGGTGCAGATATTTGTCCAACCCATTGCCCTCTCTTCCAAGCGCCATGGGTGGCCATACATATGTACATAGGTATTTATAGTTGCTTTTGTGCGAGCACGCTGCATTGGTGAGCTATTGACATTTGAAATCGTTTATTTATCGCCGCGATTTGCAAGCGCTTAACGTTAGCTCTTTCCGTATGACAAACGTATGCATTTCGGTATTGTTGAGTTGCCATTGTGTGCGACTTACATATGTACATACATGCTTATGTAAATATACGCATTTTTTTGTTATGGTTGTGTATGCGTTTGCATATTTCTGTTGTTGTTAGTTTGTTGACACTAAATGAATAGTGTGAAAATAAACGAAATTCCGAGTATATATCTTTTCGCCAAGAAACAATCGTGTGGCTATCAAGTACATGAAAATGCATAAATAAAAATGGCAAACAATAATTTTTTATAAACATAAAAAGGATAGTTGTGCATCTCGTAAATTTTTTTGTCAAGGCGCTGCTTGGCTATAACAGGAGCTATGATCGCCTGTCCAACGGATGTCCTTGGTGTCATGGCAGGCATTTCTCCTGCGGCTGCCGGGAGATCTTTGGGGTAATTTCAAGCCCTTGCTGGATGATTTCGAGTTGTCCTTCTACAAACCCTACAATGTCAGAATTCCTGAACGAGACTGCTGTGGAGCGATAATAATTTTGATTGAAGAAGGGTCCCAAGTATGGTATACCGATGGATCGAAGATGGACGAAGGGAGTACTGCCGCAGACGCACTTGAACCAAGTCTTCCAATGGGCAAATACCAACCATCTTCCAGGTGGCCGTCTTCGCAATCGAAGTTTGTGTTCGCGAATATCTTCGTAGAAGGACAAATGGGGCCAGAATAAATATTATGTCGGATAGACAGGCAGCCTGAAAGGTCTTCGGCTTTTTAAAACAGCATCAAGGCTTGTGGACAGCTGTAAAACTTGTTTGAACCACCTGGAAGCTTATAATAGCGTAACGATGTGGTAAGTTCCGGGACATCAAGGGATTGAAGGGCTGACTGTCTCGCAAAGCATGCAGCCCAAGTGCGCTTTCATGGTGTCGAGCCTTTTTTGAGCTGGTGGAGGAAACTCCACGTATCACGTATAGCAGACTGATACACCTTGGGGGGCGCTTGTCTTCCCCATCCAAAATTTGGAACATAGCACCCTTCAAAGTGCTTAACTTCTTAAATATCCTAAGGTGGAAGTGATTTCAATTACGGTTTATCACAATAGATCTTCTTAGGTCGCAGTGGGAGTATTCCCGAAGTAATAAAAATAATAATAATATATATGTGTATAAGTCTGTACAGAAAAAAGAATTGTTATACGCAGTTAATTTAGTTTTTATTGTACTAGCTCTGTTTAAGTTTTACTAAATGCTATGTTATCTAAATTTATAATAAACTTGGCATTGAAAAAGGTATTAAAAAGTCAAACTTTTGATAGGGTCTGGTTGCTTTTGGTAGGAACTTTTGGTAGGAAAAATAATTTTTCCGTGGCAACACTGGTTGGTTTACTGTGGGTGAGATGTAAAATTCTAAGCTATTCTAGAAAACAAACTGGTAATGAACATAAAGCTAATAAAGTCCAAAAAAATGCTATAAAAATATATAGAAATAAAATTTATTTTATCCGTAATATATGCATATTTGAACCGCCATAATTCGATGATAATCATTTCCTACTTTTTATTTACAAACATATTCGTTTTGCGCTTTTGCTCTACTGGTGTACTTGTATACACCAATTACCACCAATTATTACCGGCGGAAATCGAAATTTTATTGCGCTATTTTGTTCTTTTCGTGTATTGCTGTTGTTTTAACGGTATTTCCTATGAAAATATTTACATACATACTTGTTCAAAGAATATTCAAGAGATTCCTTTTGGAGAAATAAAACTCGTGCTATCCGATGAAAAACAATGCATTTAATTTATTCAAAATGTGCGTATATATATATTTACATATAATTACATGGGGAGTTATGCACCCATAACGATGCAGTGATGTATATATACGCGTTCAATTTTCCCTTGCTTCTTAAGCAAATTTTGGCTTTTTTTATTTGGTTCAAATTCACATAACTGTGCCAAGTAAAAAGTATAGTGTAACTAAACTTATTAAAAAAACAAAGGGTCGTTTTCTTTTCTTTACCAATCTTATTTGCTTTGATTACCTCTAAAAAGGTTTTACTATATAATTATGTATTTTTGCTTCGCCGCCTCACATAATCGATTATACACACACACCTCAGTTACGCTTCACCCTGCTCATGTACATACATATACATATATGTATTTATGTTCGTCAATTAGTTCAAAGTACTAGCTACTTCTGAGCTGCTCGCAACTTTTGGACTAAGAACATTCCATTACTAATACGCCTAGGTGGGCGAAGTTGTTCACACGCCAAAAATAGGGGGGGCGTAAAGAATTTCCATACTGGGAACAAAGCAGCAGCACGTGCAACTTAGTTTTTCACACCGATAGTAACCTGCACCGCGTGGTTTTACCTTTCCCTTGTAATCCCAAGTGAGCGCCAGGGGCAATCTTACAATTGCATGCCTTTACTTAAAAATCTTAAAGTCTTCAGTGGCTACCCTTCAAAATTTGTCTATATATGGATATATGTATGCATGTATGTATGTAAATATTTTTCTGTTTCTTCAACAACGCCCCCTTCTTTCTTACTTTCGTTTATGCTAGAACGCATTTTCCCACACTTTTGCTTAATTTAATTTTAGTTTGCTTATTTTTTCGTTTCTTCATTGGCGAACTCCTCTCAGTCAACACTTGTGGTGGGCGTTACGCTATGATTTTCCTTACCTTCATTACTTTTCATTTAGAGTATAAGTATTCTACCAGTGAATTCTTTGCAGCGGCTGCTCAAGCGTGTATGGACAAAGGTGTAGATGATGTTAGAAAATATACATTTACTTTGAGCATCTTTGTTATTGTTTCGGCTTCGCTGTACTACTAAATAGCAATGTGCTAGTGTTTTGCTTTACTCTTCTTCTCTTGTTCTCTTTTGGCATGTAACAATATTTTAATTAGCCTTAAAATTATGCAATGCATCTGATTGGCATCAAATGGCAGTTGGGAGTAGCGGAACAAGGAATATGCAAAGTTTCGGTGAAAATTTGTATTTTTTAGCAAATTTTAAGGAGAAATGTAAAAATTTTATTGGGAAGAAAATTTTTTAAAGGTTTTCATTTAAACTAAGAAACGTTCAGAAATCGGACAAAATCCGGAAACTTTCGCTAAGCACTAAAAACTTGTGCACATAAGGAAATATGTTTGAGTGAAAATTTTTTTTTAGCGATTTCGACAACGATAGAAATAGCGACACTAAAAATCCTCGATTTGTATGCTAAAAAATGACAGGAATAGAAATACCTGTATTACAATATTAGATATTTGCTTAAGAGGGCTTCAAGGGAATCAAAAACAAATTCATTTCGAAAATATTTCTAAATAGGGTTGCCACCTGTAGAAACAGTTTAAATTGGTTCAAATATTTCAATATGGCTATCAAAGGAGAAAGGTTTAAAGAAAACTTTTTTCGAAAATGTTTTTGAAATGGTTGCCACCTCTTTAGAAATTAAAATTCAATATAATTGACACGTGTAATGAAATATTAAAATATGGGTGTCAAATGAGTAAGTTCGTTTATTTCAAAAATATTTTTGAAGAGGGTTGCCACTTTTTATGACTTCAAAATCTATTTAGTGAACGAGTAAAACCAAATGCATGCATACATATTTAATTATGTTTATCAAACGAGAGACATTTAAGTAAGTTTTATTTAAAATATTATTTTGAAAGGGATTTGAAGAGGACTAGCGCCAATCGTTTAACCACCACCTAATCGATGGTATTCTTAACGATAATTAATTACATTCGCTCTAAAATAAGTACATTCTTCGAGCGCTATATTATTTAATATGAAAAATCACACAATTAGATTGTTTTTTTTTCATATTTTTGGCATATTCATTAAAATCATTTTATTTTTAATTTTCAGAATGATTATGACATGCGGCTATAATAACTGTAAGTAGAAATTTGATATTTCAATAAAAATTGTTAATTTAAGAATAGTTATGAAAATATTGGCTTTATTTACTTAAATTTTGGTACATACATACATACATACATATTTTTCAATTTGGAATTTTTCGATGTTCTTAAACGGTTGTTTCTTGTAACTAGATCTCTTTAGGATATATACATATGTATGTATATGTAAGTGTGCCTCTTTCTCTATTAGTCTTAGCAGACAGCTACTTCGACCTAACCTAATCCAGCCATGCTGTTAAAACGTTTAGATAAATTTTCTTCTTAAACACACCTTTGTTCAGGTGAAACTATTTGTACTTTTTTAACTTTGATAGGTAACAAATAATGAACTTTTAACTCCAAGAATTTAGAAAATTTTATTTTTTTTTTAAGCATAAAACTTGCTACTAATAGCATTTTTGTATTACTAAAAACACTTAAAATTAGCTGCTATTTTTCGTTAAAAAACTTTAATTTTTGTATCACTGTTTTAATGCCTTGTATTCTAAAACACAATAATATGTAAATATGTTTGTCCACAATGCACTTAAACCCTCAAAATAAATAGAAAAAAGAAAAAACCTTTTGAAAACTAAGCATCATAATTAATGACGTTGAAATTTTCAACCGGCTACTCAAACTGCTGCTGCCAGATTCCCCCAGGCAGACTAAAGATGGCTAATTGCAAATGAATAGAGCCAAAGCAGCGCAATGGAATTAGAGCTGATGGACGATAAAAAAAGTAAGGGAGAGGACGAGTAGTTACGAGTATAATTGCCATTTCATTGCGGCTTGGTCAAAAGAAGTTTGGCGAGTTGCACGTGTTTTACCATCATTAACATGATGGAGTTGCGATGCCGAACACGAAAACAACAAACATACAAACGATCACAGTAGAAGGCATAGCTTACCAAGTTGAAGAGGAGCTTGAAAAATATGAAGAAGACGCTACACGCAATATTATATGTACATATATATGTACATATGTACTTGCTACACGCACTGCGGAGATGGAAATACAAAATGAAGATAGTTAGCAACAAAAGACGGCTGAAATTAAAAGAATGGTGAGCTTAATCAAATTATAAAAAATTGCAAGTTGAAAAGAAAAAAAATTCTAAACCAGAAATTTGTGGTTTTTTGACTGGATTCTAGTGATTTGCATGCATACATACATATGTACATGAAGTCCAAGCTTCATATATAAGTAGCTGAAACAAAAATGGGCATTGCTTACAAAGTCACAACATCAACCGGGAGGAACCTGCTTTTGAACATTAGGCTGGGTCACGAAAGAAAATACATATTTGTATTACAAGCACTGCCACCTCTAACTTCTAGGAAATTTTAATGTACTAAATATAAACATCCGTCTTAGCTATTATTATGGACGCTATACATACATATATATTTTGTTATCACGGTAAGATAATTTTGACTTACAGGGCAATTATAGCTAACATAGTTGCAAGTCTTTTGTGAGACAATTGAAAGAAAGTAGGCAAGATAGTTTGAAAGATCCTTTTTATTCTGGCACAAATGTCTTACAAAAAAAATCTCCTTTGCAAAATTTCACGGAGAAAAGCCCTTTTGGCAGAAAGTACATGAGCTTGCCCCAAATGGAGATATATGTATGTATATCATTGTGCGCGAGCTGCTTCAACAGTTGCAATGGCCGAGGGAGCAAACTACTGGCGTGCCATTTGAGAGATCCGAGGTTCAAATCCTCGGGCAGTTGATTTATTTAATTATTTTTTTATTTAAATTTTATTGTTTCAAAAAGAAAATTCAATATCATTTAATTTTTAGTTTATTTTATGTATTTTTTTCTGTTTTGGTTTGATTTTCTTTTAAGTTCTGGGTTTTGTGATTTGAAAAATAAAAACATATTTTTTTTTAATTTCATTTCATTTTATATTTTATTTCATTCAGTTTTTAGATTTTAGATTAGAATTACATTTTTATATTTTATTAGATTTTGTATTAAGATTTTCGTTGATTTCAGATTTTTTAAAAAGAAAAATATTTCTGCTTTCAATCTAACTTATTTTCTTGGAACATTAAATTTTTTTTTAGTTTTTTTGTTTAATTTAGTTTTCTTAAATTTTTAAAGCATATGTATTGTTATAAAGAGAAAAAATATTATTTACTTTGAGCTTGATTTAATTTGTACAAACTTATTTTATTTTTTTGCTTTTATTTATTTCTTATTTTATTATTTTTAGATTTTAGATTTTGTTCTTTTATGAAGAAAAATATTTTTGATATTAATTTAATTCGATTTTCATGATCTTTTTATTAATTTTATTGAGCTTTCTCTTTTGTTTAATTTGATGTTATTTAATTTTTAGAAACGTATTTTATTGATTTTTTTTGGGGTTTTCATCATTTTCTTCTCTTTTAATTGGATTTTATTTTCATTTTTAGTTGTTACCGGTTTCAAAAAAAAAAATATATATACATATGTATACGTAGTTTTGTTTAATTTAATTTTTATAAAACTTATTATTAAAATACACACAGAATATCGCTAAGAGCTCCTACTTAGCAGATCTTTTAATAAGTCTTTCGAAAGACAGAAAAGAGTTTTCAATATAATTGCCAGTATTGGCAATTGTCTTACGAAAAATTTGTATTGTCTTTTTTTTATGGAAATCGGTATACTCTAATACACACAAGAACACACGTACTCTTACTCGCATGGCGGTCAAACACGCTCGCTTGCCGTACACTTGCCTTTTTCTGTCGCTCGAGTAGAGCTGTCAATGCGGCTAAAGTGGTGGCGTCGGCGCTCTCTGTTTGACTGCCGATGTCGTTGTTACTTTTCTGTTTGGGTCACTGACCACAGACACACCAAGCGAGCGTCCACTATATACGAGCAAGCATCAAGTTAAGTCCGACAACGGTAGACCGGTCCGCAGACAAACGTGGCCGGAGCTGGTAGTCGTTCCCTTTGCTTTATGGGTCCGTCGCTCACTAGCTTAAAACGCATAGCCAAGCTTCGAACCAAAAAACGTCGCAGCGCTCGCACCGCATGTTCATGGCGCTCCCAGTACTCCCGGCTACATACCCTGTAGGGAAACCGTGAACTGGTGAACCAAATTTGTAGTTCCGTACTAGATCTTTATCGCCAAAAACGAACCAGTCCGATAGTAACTAGATCGCCACCAGTTCAAAAGCAGCGATATGTGGTACTTTTAAAAAACAATTTTAGAAATCTATATCTAAAATGACGAATTTAGAATTAGAATTTAGAATGCAGAACGAACTAGATCTCATCTGGCGAATTTTGAACTATCTCGAAACTACTGAAAAAGGGATGCAGCGGGGGCTTGTTTACTTTAAATAGATTTTTGCTTGGCGGGTTTTTCGTTCAACTACGCTTTCAGTCTGCACGTCGCAGATGCTTTTTCATAGTTTGGTAATACAAAACTAAAATTTGTGTTAACATCTTAACATTTTGGGAGCTTCTGGAATATAACCAATAACAGTCAGCACCTCTGCAAATTCAGCTACAGCCAAAGGTATGTAAACGTGTTTTCAAATGCAAAATTTAATTCACATTCATTCAAACAAATTTGATTTCAGATTGAAAATACATTTTTCTGCAATAATTAAAATTTGCTACCATGGTAACCCAAAAAGAAAACATCTTGTTCCTTTTTTCGTTTACAACTGGTTCTGAACTATAGAAAATGGGATGCAAAGCGAACTAGATCCCATATGTCGAATTTAGGGCTGGTTCGGAACTATAGAAAAGGTAATGAAGCGGGGGACAATTTCCAATTCCTATGACATCGCCGTGTTAAATTCGCCAGTTGTTTGCATGCAAAAGAGATTTATCGCGAACTAGTAGTGGTTCTAAATGTACTAGAAGCGCACCAGTTCAAAACTAGACATTTTCCCCACAGGGTATGTACATATCTCGAATGTGTGCGTGTATGTACATACATAAATAGTACTAAGTACATAACAATCATTGAGCCAACTTTGTAACCTCGCAGTTGGACTTGGTAGTCAACAGTTGGCCAAACAGACGAAACGGCGGGGCTTCTATCCAAACACACTATTTTTTTATTGCTCATTATTTGCTGATGGCTTGTTTCGCTTTTTCGTATTTCTACTCATTCAATCAAATTACTGCTTTTTATTGGCTTGGTGTTTTGTTCAGACATTTCGTGTTATTTCTTTTATATTTTTCTTATTTTCTTTGTTAATGGCAATGTAATCATAACTATTGTTATGTTTTATTTTTATTTATTTTATTTTTTTTCTTATATTTGTTGACCAAGCCTGCAAAATGGTCAGCAATACACAAATGTATAAAATCCATCTAGTTATTTTATTGCTGGTCAGGAGGCAAGGTTTTTTGGCATTTGTTTGTATTTTTATTATTACGAGTCTCATATCATAGTGACAGGAGTGATACTGATACTAGGAATTTGCATTAAAATGATATTCTTTGAAATGGAAATGTCATGTAAATATCGTTATGTATAAAAATAATATGTACTTATATTATCAAAATGAACCGCTTACTATAAAAACCTTAATTGCTTACATTTTGTTGCTACTAAAAAAAAAACGAAACTTACTAGAAGCGATAACAAAATTATTGATAATTTGACAAATTCTTGTCAGCACAAGAAAAAATTTTCATTCTGTTGGAAATTTTTCTTGAACCACAATATTTTATAATATATAATATTCGCATCCGAATGCTTTTTCGATCCGTTTACGACTGTTCGTAGGCGATCGACAATTTCAAGCGAAAAAGTACTCGAAAACGACTTTTTAGCCGGCTTTTCTTCGAGAAAACATCCAGTTACGAGCTCGTTTACAATGATTTTGCTGGCTGGGTATGTAAATATGTATGTATGTATGTATTTTGGTTGACAATTTCTCTACCAGACGTGTATAGGTTTGGCACCCGTTTAATCGGTCCTACAGATGTCCCAGAGTTTTTCGATAAATTTCTGAAATAGGGCGTTCAT